CCAGTGTTCAGTCAGGCATTCATCAAATAATATAATTTCCAGTTGCCATAGCGGTTTCTCTTTTCTGAATATGTTCTTACCTACCTTAAAGTGATATTTTGACTTTAAAAACTGGATTTTTCCATTCTATCTTGCTTATGTACATACCAAAATGCATTGTGCATACCAAACTGGGGGATTTAGAGAAGTAGGTAACATGTACCCCACCTTCAAGGCTGTTAAAGTCTTAAGTGTACACCAAATGACTGATTGCAAAGCATTTATATAAAAAAACAAAACAAAAACAAAATATTTGTTATGATACAAATAGCCCAAGTAGCGTAACTTCACATTGTATTGCAAGATTTGTAACGGGAGAGGAAACCATCTGCTTAAGTCAAATACGAATACATATATAAATCTAAAAATTCTGACATTTCCCTATTAACTAGCAGGTTTAGTTCATCGTTGCTTATGAAATCTCAATAGGCTCTTTTATTGGGATTTCTGATTTTTGTGTTTTGTCATCCTTTTGTCATCCTCAAGTTTCCTGTAACTTGGGTGGGGGTGCAAAGAATATAATCCAATAAAAGTCTTTTGATGACAAAATAAAAAAAAAAAGGTCAGTATGTTTCACCCTCACCTTGACCGTTAGCAATCGCTGCCCTCGTGTTCCGCCCAACGCAACGGCAGCTTGGGGAGGTCAAGCCCTGTCTGCTCAGCTGTACAGACAGCGGAAGCAGGATTCGAACCCACGTCCCTCCAATTCCAACGTCCTTGCTTTTCCCCTACCTCACTTCCTCCTCTGCACGGCCTGTCTGGGAGCTCGCTGGGAAGGGAAACCCCTGGCACGCAGAGTCCGAGGACCAGGAAACACGAAAAGCGGGAGCTCCCCCACCCCACCCCCTGCTGTCCGCCGCACCCCCGGAAAGCGGGTTCAAGACCAGCCCCGAGCTCGGCACTCACCGGAGACGCCCCGCAGGTCGTGGGCGGACACCAGGTTGGAGCAGACATGCTGGTGTCGGTAGATGGACTCGGACAGCAGGAAGTGCAGGTTGTGCAGCGGCAGCGTGGAGATGAGCGGCAGCATCCCGTCCTGGTGCGGGATCTGCACGGAAATGTGGATCCTGCGGGGGGAAAGGGCAGAGAAATCTACGTCGGGTGCTCGCTGCCAACGGCCAGCGGGCGCTGCTTTCTCCCCACCCAATGTGTCTTCGCCAACGAACTATCGATCTCTCTTTTTTTTTTTTTTTTGAGACAGAGTCTCACTGTCTCGCCCAGGTCAGCCTCGCTCACAGCAACCTCAGACTCCTGGGCTCAAGCGATCCTCCTGCCTCAGCCTCCCGAGTAGCTGGGACCACAGGCATGCGCCACCATGCCGCCTATTTTTTCTCTATATACTTCTTTAGTTGCCAATTAATTTCTTTCTATTTTTAGTAGAGACGGGGGTCTCGCTCTTGCTTACTCTAGTGTCAAACTACTGGGCTCAAGCGATCCTCCTGTCTTGGCCTCCCAGAGTGCTGGGATGACAGGCGTGAGCCACTGCGCCCGGCCTCCAGATTCTTTGTCATATTTTTTTTTTTTTGAGACAGTCTCACTTTGTCGCCCAGGCTAGAGTGAGTGCCGTGGCGTCAGCCCCGCTCACAGCAACCTCAGACTCCTGGGCTCAAGTGATCCTCCTGCCTCAGCCTCCCGGATAGCTTGGACTACAGGCATGCGCCACATCCGGCTCATTTTTTCTCTATATATTTTTAGTTGGCCAATTAATTTCTATTTTTAGTGGAGACGGGGGTCTCGCTCGTTGCTTACTCTAGTGTCAAACTACTGGCTCAGGCGATCCTCCTGTCTTGGCCTCCCAGAGTGCTGGGATGACAGGCGTGAGCCACTGCGCCCGGCCTCCAGATTCTTTGTCATATTTTTTTTTTTTTTTTGAGACAGTCTCACTTTGTCGCCCAGGCTAGAGTGAGTGCCGTGGCGTCAGCCTCGCTCACAGCAACCTCAGACTCCTGGCTCAAGTGATCCTCCGCCTCAGCCTCCGGATAGCTTGGACTACAGGCATGCGCCATCATGCCCAGCTAATATTTTTCTACATATTTTAGTTGGCCAACTAATTTCTTTCTATTTTAGTAGAGACGAGTTCCTCCTTGCTCAGGCTGGTCTCGAACTCTTGACCTCGAGCCATCCTCCTGCCTCAGCCTCCCAGAGTGCTAGGATGACAGGGGTGAGCCGCTGCGCCCGGCCTCCAAGACTCCTTCTGAAGCCTTATCAAAACCACTTTTTCTTTTATTATTATTTTCTTTTATTATTATTATTTTCTTTTATTATTATTATTTTAGCGTATTATGGGAGTACAAATGTTAAGGTCACATACATTGCCCGTGCCTCCCTCCCCCATTGAGTCAGAGCTTCAAGCGTGCCCATCCCCCAGACGGTGTACATCTCACTCAAAACCACCATTCCTGGCCGCGCGCGGAGGCTCACGCCTGTGATCCCAGCACTCTGGGAGGCCGAGGCGGGAGGATCGCTCGAGGTCAGGAGTTCGAGACCAGCCTGAGCAAGAGCGAGACCCCCGTCGTCTACTATAAATAGAAAGCAAATTAACTGGCCAACTAATTTATATATAGAAAACAATATTAAGCCTCAGAGACATAGGTGGCGCTATGCCTGTGAGTCGCCCAGCTACATCGGGGAGGGCTGAGGCAGGAGGGAGTCGGCTTGCAGCCCAGGAGTCTGAGGGTTTGCTGTGAGCGAGGCTGATGCCACGCACTCACTCATAGCTCCGGCCGACAGAGTGAGACTCTGCGTCAAGAAAAAAAAAAACACAAACAAACTCCCACCGCTTCTGTTGGGGAAGCGTGGCTCACTGACCGCCGCCGCGGGCCTCACCTGTTGGGGTGGCCTTGTGCCTGACGTCCAGGTACTTGGAGGGTGGCGATGAAGGACTTGGGCCTGGAAGCCCTGGAGGCCCGGCCACCACGGGGAGTGCGCAAGATGGCGCGCCGTCCGTCCGATGTGACGGGGCCGCTCCGCAAGGCGTGCGGCCCGGCCGCAACATCCACCAGCGTGGGCCACGCAGCGCCGCGGAAACCGGCCGCTGAGTAGAATGCTGTCCCAGGCACCTGCCGCGGCGGCCCACCCGCTCAGTGTGCTGCCTTCCTCCCCCACTACCCCTCTCTCATTCCGGCTTCCCTTCCCTTCCTCCCTTACGCCTTCCCTTCCTTCTAACTCTACATATTCCATATTATCCCTATATTCTCCCGTTCACCATTTATCCTCCTATATATACCCTATTACCCGGCTATTTCTATGACACTCAGGTACCCTTGACTCCATCGTCGCTCCACTTCCCTGTAAAACTCGCGCTCAAGGTCATCTTGACAACTATATTACCACGCATAACACCTTCTCGCCAAAGACTTTCCACATTGAGCCCATTTACAAGTGTGCACGACATTCCTTCGCTGTATGTCCACACTTGTCTTCCCAATTTCCCTATTCTCTGCGACCTGTACCCTGTTATGTCTAGAAACCAAGTCCGTCGGGTCTAATATGAACCTACACTCAATGGAAACTCTGAACTCCAAGTAGTCCCCCTTGCTCTTTCGTTTCCTATATTCACTCAGATTATTATCTCTCACATTTTCCATGTTCTGTTTCCTTTCCTGGTGCGTTTGTGCTTTATACCGTCTCTTATCTCTTCCTTTCCTTTCTTTCCTTACACAACCTTATACTTTTCTGGGTCGGCCTCAATAGATGCCGGTTTCTTGCGCATTTCTGTCTCATTTTTTGCATCTATGGTCCTTTCCCTAGTCTTTACATATAACTTTGACACATGCTCTCGCCTAGGATATAGATAGACGCATCCTTTGCCTTCTCGTTCCTTTCTCCTTTCTTTATTCTCCTTGATAACCACCACTATTACGAAACTGTCTTATTCTTCTTCGGTCCAACTACACATATGAAATATTACTCCTTTATATATATGCATTATTATCACTTATCCTTCTTCGCGGCTATGATTTCGTTCTCTACATCTCGCCTTGTCTTCCCACGCTATCAGTATGGCTGAGGCAGAAAAGATTCACTTCTCTGTAGCTCCCTTAGTGCGATGTTCTGATCCTTTCCCTGGTTGCTTCCGTCGACTAGGTCTTATGCCACTCTAGCACTCTATACGCCCAGGTACAACTAGAGTGGGACTCTGTCTCAAAAAACATAAAAAATATCTATATTGTTTGTTTCTACACAGCTTTGCTACAATATCACTTCATCAGGAATCAGATGGTACAATAGTATGATATGAACACCTGTGATAGTAGTACATATGTTATTCCTATAGATCCCTTCTACTATCCTTTTCCTAATTCCTCTTTTCTGCATGTATATCTCTCTCCTCTACTACCGTAATTCCGTTATAATTACCTCTTTTTTTCCACATATTATACCTTATATAAAAGTTCCCACTTTTTTAAATACTCAATTGCTATACTCTCACTCCTGCCATCCCCCTCAGTACACAACACCTTCTCACCCATAAATGCCTACATTCTATCTCAACCATATCTAGAAAAGACCCAGAATTATATTTCCTCCTCTCCTATTCTACATCTTTATGGATTTTATATAAAAATACCAAATTATTCAGTCACAGTGTAGGATAATTACAGCGAAGATAAAATGAACTAAGGAGAATTAAGAGACTATTATCTGCCAATTCTTACTGAGGGAACAGTTTTTCATTCTGTGACAAGACTGAAGCATATGTTAGCTCATTTAATACATAGCAAAACATCAAAATCGAAGTTAAATCTCAACTGCTTGTACATTCCTATGGGTAGTAATACTTTCTAGAATCAATGAACCTTGTCCTCCTTTTTTTCTGATAACCCATCGCGTTAACCTGCTGATGTCTGTGGGTGCTCCACGGGACAAGACCATTAGGGAATCAATGCCTGAAATAGCACAGTCATTAAACTTGGGCTTCGAACTGGCTGTACACTCATAAAACAATTGAGGGAACGTAGGAGAGCTGATTTATTTGAGCCATCCAACTCTTTTTGGCTGAAGGCGGAGAGCAGGAGCAAAATCTCACTTTAGCGCTACACTGGAGGTCCACCAACCCCACCAGGAGCGCAGAGGGCTTGTTAGGCAGAAGTGCCGGGCCACAGAGCTCATCCTACCCGGTGAGACACCACACCACATGAGAGCCGAAAATTGCCCGTCTCTACTAAAAATAGAAAGAACATCAATTCGACCAACCAAAAAATATATAGAAAAAAAATTAGCGGGGCGTGGTGGCGCATGCCTGTAGTCCCAGCTACTCGGGAGGAGGCTCGAGGGAAGAGGATCGCTTGAGCCTAGGAGTCTGGAGGTGCTGTGAGCTAAGGCCTGACGCCACGGCAACTCAGTCTAGCCTGGGTGACACAGCGAGATCTGTCTCAAAAAATTAAAAAAAAATAGAACACCGTCATACCGAGCGTGCACCCTGCTTTGCTGGAAATCCCAGGAGCCGTGCACAGACCCGGAAGAATCCGACAGGGTCTCGGTCACAGGGGGAACCCCGTCCCTCTCCCCGCCCGCCGGCCTGCGCACCCAGAACTCCACCCTGTGGTTGACGCTGGTGAAGGGCGTGCTGTCGCTGACGGTTTCGAAGGGCGACCGGGCCCCATTGCTGTCGGTGGGGGCGCACCTCCCAGCTGAACGTGCACGGACGTACTGGTGATGCCGGCTCGGCCGCACCGCTCCTTGGTGACGGCGTACCGGGGGAAGCGGGGGTCGCAGGGGGTGACGCAGACCAGCGGGTAGCCGGGCGAGGGGGCCTTCCTGGCTCCCTCCTTGGTGACCTCCTCCACGTGGTCGTAGTCCGCCAGCGTGACCACCTGCAACACGGCAAAGAGACCCGGCTCAGCCCGGGCACCAACCGCTCAGAATTAATTGCAGCCTCAGAAATTAGGGTGTCAGGGCCGGGCACAAAAGGCGGCTCACGCCTGTCATCCCAGCCACTCTGGACGCCGACAGGCGGGAGATCGCTCAGGTCAGGAGTTGAGCACCAGCCTGAGCAAGACGAGACCCTGTCTCTACTGAAAATAAGAAAGAAATTAATATTAAAAAAATAAATTAGGGTATCAGGGAGATCAGAACATTACAGGCCTGTCCCCAGAGACCCACGACATCTCTCAGCATCTAGGGATTCTTCACACGATAACCAGGGACGTTTTCACAGTTTCTTTTTTTGCCAGGCACCCCTAAAAGACACAGCTGAGATTCTCCTACCGCCTGGGCCAACAGCTCTTGTATTCTGTTTTCTTTTTTTTAATTTATATTTTTTGAGACAGAGTCTCGCTCTGTTCCAGGCTAGAGTGAGTGCCGTGGCGGTCAGCCTCCGCTCACAGCAACCTCAGACTCCTGGGCTCAACGATCCTCCTGCCTCAGCCTCCCTCCCGAGTAGCTGGGACTACAGCATGCGCGCCATGCCGGCTCATTTTTTCTCTATATATTTTACGTTGGCCAATCTCATTTACTATTTTTAGTAGAGACGGGGTCTTGTTCTTCTCAGGCTGGTTTGAACTCCTGACCTCGAGCGATCCTCCCTCGGCCTCCCAGAGTGCTAGGATCAGCAGGGTGAGCCCCGCGCCGGCCTGACTCTCTTTGTAGTCGCGGACTGTCCTGTGTAATTGCAGGATGTTTAGCAGCAACCCCGGCTTCTGCCCAGCAAAACTGTCATGTAAGAGTCATGACAACCAAAAACGTCTCAGCTTGCCGGATTGACCCAGGGTTTGAGCAAAGCAGGGACGAGGTTGCTCGAGGCGAGGCTG